AAACTAGATCAACGATGTCTTCCCTTAAAGGAAGTTGTCTAACTGCGAGTTACAAAATGAGCTCTTCACGTTGCGTTGAAGTGAAATACATTGCATTAATCTACAAAGACAGATCTCTACTCAGTACACTGATACATCGTCTTTGTAGTGGTTGTAGATATATTTCTTTATAGATGAAATCGAACAATATTTCGTAAAGGTTAACAGTAACCAAAATGATTTAATAATAATAGGGTTGCGTGACCCTAATCTCCTAATTGGAGTTACCCTCAAATCTTTGGTCAAGCTGTATGATACAATTTCCTAGGTCCCAGAGACAAGAGGATAGGCGCAAAAAGTACGCCAAAAATAATAGTTAGATGCAAAAAATATATAGCTAAAATATATGGTAAGAGAAATGTACAGTGGCTGTAGATGACAATTTGTCAATCTAATTTTGATGCTCTTCCATTTTCAGTTACGCCTATAAAAACGCCACCCGTGTCGTTGTCATCAAATAGAACATGACCATGGACTCATAAAAATAGGCTTGTACGCCGTTTTGCAGCATAACCTTGTCAATGGTTGTGTACCCATTTAGTAGAATACCATCGAAGAGAGACCAAACCGAGGAAGCAAAAATCTCCACATAGTACAACAAATATGTATCTTACACATGATTATCTGTTAAAGGTGAATATAAACATAACCACGAATGGTTAAAATATGCTTGTTTCGTAATTTACGCATACTTATTGTGCAGTATATGTCCTCAGCAAAGGTTGGATCTTGAATTATTGAAATGAAAGCTTGAACTCTGAATCTTGAATAATTAAAATAGAAAGTATTCAAGCAATATTGTACGATTTACGATAAGTTAGATACGCAATATGCTCAATGCGTGAACCTAACATGTTTTCATTTATGGTCGCTGCCTCCTGTTTTGTAGTAGCCCAGCCATGAAATTTCCTGGTCATTCAATGTATTGCAAACTTGAACAAAGATTTAGCGAGTGATCGTGCCCAGTATAGTAATGTTATATTTCATGTATACGTTATAATAACGTAATCATATTTGCACTCATGTTTGAAAATTCTAGTTGCAAAAAGAAAGCGACTAAATATGATGTGATTTAGTGTACCGACTTTATAATATCAATTTTTATTTAACATGCACGTACAATTGGTCAAGAAAGCTGAGTAGTTTAATTCAGCTCATAGGATGAGTGCTCGGTATGGAGCCTACGTAGAGAACTGATGCTTTCCGAGCTCTCGAATAGCTCGTCATGAACATTTTAGGCGCGGCGCCTAGGGCGCAGGTCGCGGTTTACGATTAATTCAAATTAACAACTCTCTTACCGATCGTTCTAATGGGAGGTAAGGAACTATGGAGGAAAAACCCTGTTATGCGCGTGGCGGTTCAGCAGTTGTGAGGGTCAGTGACGGTTATCATTAAGGTCATCTTTGCTTTGTTAGTACAAATAGAGGAGAACAACTGTTAAGTCAAATTCTTATATTTAAAAAAAAAACTAAAAAAATGCATTTCTAATCCGCTTTCTATAGTTTTGCTCAAATAGAGTCAGCCAGACATTTAGCAAGATTAAAAATATAGTAGTCGTGGTGCTTCACATCAAATCATTATCACAGCAGTATTTTATTACGAATCACCGAGTCCGGTGCGGACGGACCATAGAGTTTGAGCAGCTAACAAACCAGTCCTGCTCATTTCAAAATCGTAGCTTATAAAAAGAAACTCGCGTTTGGCTAAAACGGATAATCATATGGTCGCATACTATAGGTATATAGTATATTTCCTACGAATTACGGCACTGTGTCATAGATAATGGCTAAAGCATACCTGTTATGAGTATAAACGTCTTTCGGGCGGTAGTGAATTTTGGTCTACATTCAGCAACATACATAGCAAAAAGCCGTTTTGAAAATGTATAGACGACGTGAGCATGGACATCCTTCAAGTGGTGGGCAATATAACGTTACGGGATAAATGGTTACGTAAACGGACAATAAAATGCATATTATAAGGAATTAGAAGGTACAGAGGATGGCGGCATGTGGTTAGCACGGCATCTATAGCTTTAGATAAATATATGTCGCATGACCGATGGCGATATAGCCGGCTGGTCGAACACATTTATATACATAAGCACGCAGCAAAGCTTGAATGTTAAACTTTGATACTTACGCCAGTGAAGACCGAACGACGAATTAAACATTATCAAATCAAATAAAAGTTATTTCCCTCTAATGAATGAAAGTTTGTTTTATTTGGCTTGCTATGAACTTCACTTAGCTCACACGTGTCATCATAACTAAGTCCATTTATAGCCGATAGTTGCCCACGGATAAACAAGAAATTTCTCTCTACGGTGTAATCTGATGACTCCTTCCAAGCCAGTCCTAGAACCTCTGCGCCTGTGATATTTGTAAAATATGTCGTTCCGCGGCAGTGATGTTGTACGAACAGACACACTCTGTCATCCTTTCAATGTAACAAAGAACATACCGCAGTTGGATTTAGGCATTATAGCTGGATTCCGCAACGTTTAACGTGTTTTCCTAACCACAATGACTCCATTGATAGATATATTGAGCAGTATCTCTAAAAGAGATAAACAATTGGTGTTTGAGCTCACGTACATCATGAGCATGTTTTTCATTTGATCGGTTTCGCTCCCGAACGGACACAATCAGACTATCACAGTCTTTTACTTTGTGTCAGTGATACAAGGGGCTATGAAGTATTGACGGGCGAAAAATTCCAGCCTCGAGCTGCTATTTGATGTCATGCAGCTTTTGAATCATCAGCTGATATATGGATGTAGTTCAGAGGAGTTGGGCAGTCAATAAGGTTGTTTTATATATTTTGGCTGCCGTAAGTGTGCCTTAAAGAAATTCTATAAATTTGATTTAAGATGCGGTTTAAGAGAAATTGCTGGGAAAACGGAAATATGCGATAGAAGACCAAACAGATAAATGCTAAGAGTATCACGTACAGTCTAAATTAAGCATTCCTTCAGACGGCTAGTTTTCTATAGTATCAAACGAACCGTAGGTTGGACTCGGTTTCAAACCTTATTTGTCCCTAAATATAGTAGACAAATATATTACCACTGCACCATCACAAAAATCTAGGACCTGAGATATTCGACCCCATTGTAAAGATAATTAGTTATAAAAAGTAGCTTAACACGATAAGTAAAGGTGAGATAGTGGAGACTTACATAGTTTCAGTCAAGCTCGAATAAAAAAGCGCAACTATATATAACGCTTACCAAGAAAGAAATGCCCCTTAACGGAGTTCGGATCCAGATCTGTGGCACGGCGGCAGTCCTGAACCGTCAACTCCCACTGGTGTAACTTGAGATAACTGAGTGCCCGATTCGTGAAGTACAGTGCTACTGATGGGTTTTTAATCTGAAAAAAAAAGTATCGGTCTGTGCGTATATTTCCATACTCTAAAAGAAGTTCTGTGGTCGCGCCGCAGATTTCTTTATATTTAGCTAATTAGTTTTATCTGGAGATACTTTAATTAATGCTACTTTAGTAGAATCAATTCAATTCAGCGATGTCTAGTGCTGCTATCTCCCGAATGTTCTTTCTAGAGTCGCGATGGCAAAACAAATTTGAGATAACTTAAGCTCCGTGGTTTCAAAAGTTGACTTTATAACAATAGAAGTAAATCAAACCGATTTCTAGCCAAAAGCTAACGTCATAAGGTGCGAGCAGATACAGAAACACCCTTTAATACGGGTCGCTTGGGCTTACTCAGAAATGATGTATAGAACATGCTTTTAGAGGACAAGAAGTCGAATCGATTGCCCTACAAACCATGTGCAATGGATATATCCTTACTCTTTTAGTTAATTTTTTAAGAATTTACATATATCAGAGAACACACCTTCTTTGTGAATAAGCCCACTTTTCTCGAGCAATGACGTAAAGCGTTCGGTAAAGGTTAATTTGCGGAATTTTTTGTTTTAACCACATATCATATAGCCATCAACGAATCAATCTCTATACTGACGTGCCATTTGAACGTGTAAGTGTGCACTCGCGTGGCATAAATGTTCACTCTAATTTTAACGTTGTCAGATCTCAACTTGTCTATGTACGTCGGCTGACTTATTTCCATTGCCTTTGTCACGCTTACACTGTAGAGATTATTTGATATCTTTAATAGTTCTTTGCCTATTTTACTGCTCGGTCATCATGAACATAATGTAAGTACGAAAACATGCCGTCGAGTACATGTTCAATTTTTTGAGTAAACAGAAACATATTATCCCATCATCCGACATCGAATTTCAACAGGTATGGGTTCCTTACGTGAAACAGGGATTTGCTTGTCACGTTACCAATTCCTAGAAAACCGCTTGCCAGTAGAAAATCGTTACAACGAACCATGATAATATTATTACTACAACCATCGTTTAAATAAATTACTCCTTTTACAATAAAGCACTTAAACTTCTGTCCTTATTTCTTGCGCTGCTGATAGAGACATCCGCAAAACTAAATGCTTACTCATTCCTTATTATTAAAGTAGTTTTAAACTTGACTACTTATTTGTGCTGAAATTTTGAAACCATTAGAAAAAGCATTGCCCACCAAAGCGAGACACCTCAAACAAAGGAACATTTTTGTGAGTAAATCATTAATTAAATTATCAATAATTTACTATTGAGGTTTTGAGAAGTGACCTTTTCAGTCAATGCAAAATAACTTACAATGCTGTTCTCCTTTCCTATCTCTTTCTATGGAACGTATACGGACAAATATTCTCTCTCAAATCGTCTGGTCAATAATATATTAGTGATAATTTTTAAATGTTGTTTAGGTTCTGGCAAAGTGGATCTAAACAAGCCAGCCAGTTTAGCTTCAAATAGATTTGTTACATCTGACGATTAACCTATTTATGGTAGCGGGCCAATACTGGGTAAAAGGCAAAAAATGTTGAGTTGCATACCCGGCCAACCTTCAGCACTCACGTGGCCCTGATCAAAAACGTCAGCGGTTTGCCATCATGGGATATACATAAATATATATATATATATATATATACTGTACAAAAACAAAAAAAGGGCTGATACTCACAATGGCCTTTGAATAACACTGAATAGCCTCGTCATATTTGCGCACACCGAACAATTTGTTCCCGTACTCACGGAGTTCATTAGCACTCATATTTTCCATTTTTAACTGTTGTTTTCCACCTGACCCCTTCATACTTTCGTGTACCTTACAATCACTGTAATCAAAACAGCAGTTTTGGACGGGTATATTTTGAAAGCTAGAATCAGACCATATCGTTGAATTCACTAACAATGGGATAACAATACTTTCTCAATATCACCTTTAAAAATTGGTACGTCTCCGTTTTTTAGGGTCTCATGCTTCTGTTTAACGAAAAATAAAATCTCGAACAAAATTTATCGGGCTTCGATATCAACTGACAGTCACGCTCAGGCGTATTCTTCACTTTGCGAATATCGCAAACAACTTCGAATTTAATTAATATAGCCCATCAGTTTGATGTATTGACATCGCTGACGCTAATTTCCACAAACATATAATGCACTCAGTATGGATATAATAGTTTCAAGCGGCTCGTCATGAAAGTTACAGGTGCATTTCTCTAAGTAAGTTGTAAAACAATCAACCTAGAAAATGTCTAGGTTCTCTTAGATAAACGCCTGTTACAGCAAATCTGATTGACTGAGGAGTAAATGTTCCAGGACAGCACGTTTCCAAGACAGACTAAAGACGTTTTTTCTATCAGACTTTCCTCCCTGAGTAACACGAATAACAAATACTAACAGATGATATCTACAACAACTGACTCTCCGTTTCGTCGATGTCAACCTAAGCTGACACGCGCACAACCGATTTCCTTTTTCCGCTGGTTTCACTATAGACACACTGTAGACTACCAAGACTGAATCCTCCACGGTTGCTTTCTCGCTGTGGTTCGCTTCGCCTTGTTACAATACCTGCAGCTCACCACTTCTTCCGTTTGCTTCTAAATGCCTGGGTGCGTGTGCCCGTCGTACTTTCAAAACGACGCGAAATAATTTTCAAAGCCAAACCGAGCGCGCTCCTCCCATCTTATACTGCACTAAAAAGGTAGAAGACTGTGATGTTGGGGTGGTGATGACAGCGGACAGATACAGAAGTAAATAACATTTGTGGGGCCAGACAAACTGGACTGACTCATTGACCGACAACCACTGACCGTTAAGGCTGCTACTGTCCGATGCTGGTAAAATCCCCTGGCAATGGTCGTGACAGTAGATGTTGTTATTGTGATGCCCGCCGACCTGTACGTTCAGCCAGGTAGCTGCTGTTGATCCATTACCTGCCTTCACAGAATCGCTTCTTCGGTTTTGGCAATGACTTCAGTGTTAGAATAGAGTTGATAGATAAACAAGTCAATGATCCTGTTCTCTGCCCCCTTGTTTGTTTCCTTGACTTTCTACCCTTTCTAACCTCTATGCGTTTGCCATGGTTGTCGTCAACGACGTCAAGTTTATGCAATTTAGTTGCTGCCAGCCCTCTCGGTCGATGCTAAACCCCATCTACTTTGACTTGGGATTCTGGCGATTGTTTAACAAAAGCCACTTAGCAATCGTAGTCATATAGACACTTAAATAGTTGTTCATTGCTTCATACACATTTACAAAGGCCCTCAAAGGCAAACACATTCACTTCAATCTAAGGTAACGTAGGCAAGCACCGAACAGCTGACGACAGGGCGATCAAAAGACGATCGCAGCGCCACCCAGTCCAGCAGCGCAGAATCATCGATTGTGTGCTTCTAGTCGGGCATCGAAACGGCCATGGAAGAGAATAACTGGGACTACATGTAGACGTGAAACCCATACATGTGTTAAGGGAACGGATGGATGATCTGCATGCTAATCGTTGCGTTAACTGCAAGAGCAAATTTGAATTTCTGGCGGGGAATCGAAGTGCGGCTAGTTGTAGTATGTATTACTCCCGATCTTACTCTACTAGTTATGTTTGATTAGTATGGTATTTAATTATCCCATATGATGTTATTTTACGGATCAATTACTGGGGTGAAGATATCACAACCAGAAAATGGCATTGAACGCCTCCTTGAGCGGAGGTTTTGCTATCAGCCTCAGCCAGCAACATGAATTTTACTTTACAGGCGTGTTGTTTTATAAAAGAGTAAAGGTAAAATTCATTCTTTTAAAAATATAGGCTCACAGTTGAAATCTAGACTACAGTGAACAGTTCCTGTGAGTTTATATAACCGGTATCATACGACTGCTTACTTCTCAACCTCATCTGGCCATTCTTAACGTTCCTAATATGAAGTTCGAATACTATTATTGGGTTCTTGATATGGTCTGTTTATGCGAGCCAAAAATGCTTATTAAAATATTTTCAACTGCACTTATTTGCCCATGTACACATTAGGCTTATGCTACATTATTACAAATACCGTTTTCATCCCACTGCAGTGTCTAAAAAGCGGAGCCGATTGTGTAAATGAGCATATCATTTAGGAGGTGGGACGCGCGATAGGTCAACAGAAACGGTAGAATAGTCAAAATTCCTGTAAAATAGCCCTGGCTACCCCCAGATCTCACTCGAGACAGGTTTTCTTTTTGAGTATGCTGGGGACGACACTCTCGTAGGGATGCCTACAATGTCAAGAAGGTTATATTGAAAATGTATATGAAAAAATGTATAGGAACAAGGACTTACGCATCAATGTGTACCTAAGAGTCGAGAACAGTCTGCAAAAATGTATGAATAGTCGAGGTAGTTAAGTTGAACGCTTATGTAAGCAATCGATCGCATCATGATGCCACGAAAATATAATATACATACACATAACGACCTTCGCGCTTGAGTTCGCTAAAGCTTGCGTGCGTTAGTGTTCTCTTTCAAAGGAAGCTTTCCGTACCCCTCACTCAAATCGTGTATTTTTAAGTTATACACGAACTGGTCAGTTATCATGCTTAATATGATCAAGTAAAAAAGAACAATTATATTGATGCTTAAAACCATAATGCGTTATTTCAGCGGGCAAGAAGCGAACCGTTCTTTATGTAAAATAGTTTATGCACTATTTTTTATCATGTTGCGGCGTCTGCTGGCACTTACGGGTTTGGAAGGGGTCTCACTGGTCTAACTTCAATCGGCGTTTTATAAGGCATTACAGTCGCCTTCATACGCGGCTTTTTTGGTAATATTACGTTTTGAAAATGATATTCTCTTATCTTTCGTTTTAGGAACCAAGGAATAACATCAGTAAATCAATATTTATGTAACATTCCATCGCCCATAAATCGGTGGGGACCTAATCATAATATTTAAAGCTTTTTTTGATTGGAGCTGTTAAAGCAACCGAAAAGTCAGCGGATTTCAAAAATGACTTTTTTACACGAATGTAATAATTCAGGCTCAAAAGCAGTCATGTGACGTAGCGGAACACGGCACCTTCAATACCTTTATGTGCACATACAATAGTTAGCAGGAAAAAAACCTAGGACGGACGTCTACGAGGAGAATATGGCGAAAAATACTACTGACAAGTGGCAACAATATATATACCTACAACTTTTTTTTTGTTTCCTAACGGATATATTTTGACAGTATATGTTGATACTGAAAAAAATTGTATTTAGAAAATTAGTTATTAGAATGTCATCTGAGGTCCATAATCCGAGCCTCACTGGGATCCAAAGAGGCATTCTCTGAATTTATTTTTTAACAACATACACAACAGTGACGCCTAGTCACACTAGAGTCGTCGGAATATCTGCTTTTACTTAAAGCTTGCCGCGCCAACGTATGACCGCTCCCAAGGACGCGCTCATAGAGTTCAACTCTTCTGAAGAACTCACGAAGTGTTAATTCAACTCCATTGATTTTTTTTGGAATAAGGGATTTTAGTTCTATTAGGGACTCGATGAATTCCGCCACGTGACACACGAAGTCAGTCTTCATACCTGGAACAATGATAATAATGAAGCAGCTTTAGTTGTTAACAAAAAAAACTGCTTTTTCCACTACCTGAACTGTGCTCGCATCACTATGACAGACCCACAACACTAGATCTTAGCTGTATCAGAGCTAAGTGACTTCAGTTCTTCCAAACGGTATGCTAACGTTGTTGTGCCATACTGCCACTCTCCGGTTTTAAGTCGTAGAGCTTATCCCATAGGTGGTCCAATATCAGTTCCGCGCATTTTAACCATTACTGTAGCCCGCAATGCCATGTATCCATTACTTTACTTAATCCATTACTTAGTTTTAACTTTAATAAAATATACTGAAGACTCATCACAGGTCCGAGTACTCTCCCCGGACAGAAAATGGAACCAGTCCAATGACACCAAACACTAATTTTCACTATTTATTTACCCAAATGGGTAGGGCGCCTTGGTTAGTGCTACCAGGTTTTTAGACGCTCTACGGGATGAATTCACAGTAATACTGAAGTAATGAGTGGTAATGTACTAATGGCGGGTGTATTTACCTTACTACAACCCTCTCTGTTGTGCTACAGATTTGTTATACAACACTGTGCAACATTGACGTTCCACTAATCATCATCGGCCATCTTAACTTCTCCCAAATTGTTTCGCCATCTTCTGATTTGCTTACTACACACGCAAAATGTATCAACTCTTACCATGCTTCGGTTACCAATGATACACAAAATCGGAGTTTAAACACACTTTCATTGGGATAAGAAACGGATCTCGTTGAGCATTTGTCACTGGTTAACCTTCAAAATAATGCAACAAAAGCCATCCCGCCTAACTTTAGTTTTGTGCGTTAGGCTTTTAGCTAACTTTTGGTGCTAGGCCTAAGAGGTAACTGCGACAACTTACGAAGTAAAATATCAAACGTTAAAAATTTTAAACTTAACAATGTTAAGTTTAAAATCACACAAAATCTCGTCACCCTTCATATAACTGTTGATGCCCAAGGCAGGCCCTAATTCGTACAGTCTTATGTCTTCTTCATATATACAGTTCTACTGGACTCTTACGACTTTAATTTGTGTTCCCGGTACGCCAATTCCGGACTCAAAGGACGAGTTGCTTCCATTTCTGTCGTGTTCAATCTATAACGCCCGAACGATTATTGTAGAACATTCTGCCTCATTCCGCTGTCCGCCGCTTGTATCATCACTTAGCATAAAGAAGAGTTGCAGCAACTATGGTTTCTCTCACTTTTATATGACGTTAGATTACTTCCTAGGTTTAGGTTAATGTAAGGACAAATTTTATACTCGACAATATCCGGCTCAGCAAATGTTTTGCTTACTTTCTTGTTGAGCTCCGAAGATACATTGTCGCGAGATTATACCATAACTGTGTTATCCAAAACCTCTTTTCCCAAGTCTTGTTGCACCAGTATCCAGCAGGGTTGTCAAACCAACGTACAATGCTATCACGCTGTCTTTCAACTGGCTGTCGCGTCTTTAGGAAAACAGTGCATCTGCTTTTGACTGAAAACATAAAAGCTTGCTTTTTGACTGAAAAAGTAAGCTCTTATGTCGCGCAGCCTAGTTTTGCAACTGTCGGAAATGACGCAGGATTGCAGGACCGTGCATATCAGCAGTCTTAGATCATACCACTGCGTTTGTTTTAATAAACAAAAAGTGGCCTTTTGATAGAGTGGGTCATGGAACTTTACTTGGGCAACTGAGTCGCCAAAATACCCACTCGTTTTTCTCCAATGGCTTCTAGCATTGGTAGTTTTTCTGAAGCTTGAAAATGTTTCCGGCTACCTGCCCCTTATGGCGTTCTTCAAAAATGTTGTAGTGACCCTTAGTTATAAGTAATTTTCGTACTTAGTACTTATTACAAATGCAAAAAACAAAATGCAAGTATATTCCGTATGAAACCTAGTAAAAGAAATAGGCAGATGGCCTACTAACAGTGTACACGACAGGCTTTAAAATGTAGTTGACAGCGTGGCCTATTGATGCAGCTATTCAAAAATATGCAGTTTTGTACCGCTTGATCTCAACTACTGAATTTACAACGTGAATGTTCCCTTACGTCTCCACTGCTCGGGCCAGTGTATTATGGATACTATGTTATGTTTTTAGGTACATTCTTATACTATGCCTTGGCGTGGGAAATCCATTTCATGGAACCCAAGCCCACTATGCTTAAAAGTGCGCAAATTTATTTTCCACCGATTACGTTGGAAATATCCATTGGAGCGCTCTAGTTCATTTACCTTTTAGATCACCGTAATAAAGCGAAATGCTCTGTCTATGTAAGGGGGACCTTATTTTGACTCAAGGTCCAATAATCTGTGCAGAAAATCCACTGCAGGTCCTAAAGCCATTGCAAAAAATGGAAAATGAGGAACAGAAATTGTAATAGCTATGCGTGGAGGATGTGTACGTCGTTTTATGGACGGGGCATATCTGCTTTTATTGTTAATTTTATATAATATGCGCTATACAATGCCTGTTGTTGTGTTCTACACGCCGTCTGGTCCTGTAAATAAAGATACTGTCAATTCAGTGAAAGCTTTGAATTTAGGTTTAAAACGCAATTTGTTATGGGTGCCCTGAGTAGCATTTCCCAAGGTAAGATTTGTGAAGGGTTCCAGTGCTTTGTTTCGTAATTTAGCTAAGAACGTTCGGTATAACCTCCAGCTTCACTTCATGCGTTTCTTATAAATTCTGCAAGAGACAATTATATTTTAACTATACGGTAGCGGAACATCCAGTGCTTAGTTTATGAACTAATATATATATAGGCCAATGTAGGCCCTGAATAGAAAAATCGTCTAAGGTCTAGACACTTGGACCAAACGCAGAGCACTGGACCAGGATCATAGTCTATTTAGTACTGAATGAGACTATGATCCTGGTTCGTTTGTAATATAAAATTCCCGTCAATAAAGTGAACAAGCTTTGCTAGCCCAATGGCTAGCACTGGATTTTTCATTGTTCTGATAATAATTACACTTCCGCAGCTTCTGTATTGATGAGGTATAGATAATTAGTATTATTTTCTAACCAAAGGAGCGCTTCAGATGCTGTTTTAAATGACGAAGTAAGGGTAAGTACAATTACGTTAGCAATTTTGCAGCATCGTCGATTACGCTTCAAAGAAAATATTTTTCCTTACGTTTATATCGTTCGCGCTTGCCTTTGTTGTCTTGTTCACATGCTGAACAAACTAAGTCCTCACCGGGATATGGCATTAAGTAGCACTGCACCGAAGTGAAGGTTTTCTTGATACATCGTCCGATTTTGAGAAATTGTGAAGTTGGAGCCCCGTGCCCTTCTCGAAAGAGTTCCCTTCGCAAGGGGTAAATCAAAGAAGTAGAAGGTGCATTGGTTTTTTAGGCTTTGGTACCTTATGCTCCACTGCTGTAATTTCGGTAAATTAACGCTGAATTGAAAGGGATCATAGTTATCTTCAGGGATGAGTTTCTGTCTTACTGCACGTTTTTTAAGCATTGTGTTAGTTGCCTATTAAATATTATCCTCCCAAAATCTATCTACAGCTGTAATGCTTACTCTTGTAGGACATCTTGACCACCTTCCCAGCCATAGGGGTATTTAAGCGAAACAGGCCAGTCCGACACAACGAATACGAGTTTTTGTCCAAGCGGCGCGCGGAAAACTGATTTCGAAACGAACTTGAGGAAGTTCTCAAATGCATATAGATCTGTACCACGTATATGCTGATATACGTTGTAAATCTGTATAGAAGCTAGCAGTACACTAAAACAAAGCACGGCTGTGGATTCTGCCGACGCGTTCTTCGTCCCGTACAGACCTTGTGTATCCATTACGAGGACGGCTACGTCCTCGCCGTTTAGTTGACGCACCTAAAACAGCTCAAAGAAAATGAATAAATGATTGCTTAGAAAATCGCAGTAAAACACCGTGCCTTCTCTTTAAATTGTCTAAAAGCACCCAATACATTATAAAGGAAATTGCAAGGTGCGCTAATGTACGGACCTACGTGAATAAGAGATTCGAACATCGGTGGGGGACATCGAGAGCGTGTGACACTTGCCGGAGAGGGGGATGGGGTGTCTGTTGCCAGTCAGATTGCCTGCCTCAAAAAGTCGAAAACTTACCGAGATCGATGGAATGTCGTGCTCACAAGTCGTGCAACATACAACAAAATCTGCTGCCAGGAATCGCTACCGCAAAAAGCTAGTTGAAGACTAAACTCTCCAAAATAATAGATAATTCATTCGATACAAATTGAGCCTGTATTAAGCTAACGGTTTCATCTTAACTACTCGTTATACAAGTTTACGAGCTTGGAAGACCACGTACGTTTCAGATTCCAGCAAAGTAGCAGTTGTTACTAATGGGAAATGATGTTGTTCTACCTTAGAATATAATCTTCAATATTTTCCTGACTAAATTTGACTGAGACCGAGTGATATTAACAATTAACTCTCATGTATTAAAACAAAAAAATATTTTTCTTTATTTTAATATATATAAATCGTGTGTTTTATTTCAGTTGTTATGTATATACTAACTGCTCAAGATGTTTTTAAAGAGCGCAAAGTTCAAACCTTAAAAATTTCAGGCCATAACGCCACCCCTTCAGGGAAGTTTTCCCACTTAACAGCTTCGGCCTGTTTCCTTGCATGAAACCAGTCCGGCGCGCCCCCACTTCGTAAGTATCTATGAAAAAAACAATTACTTCTATAGCATATTATAATTGCGTCGTACACTGCTATGCTAATTTTATTAGGCATAGTTAATATTCTTTACTAACACAAATCATCTGTACTAGCACGTGGTTGAGCTAACCTTGAAGTAGACTATTTTCTACGGAGAAAATTAAGTTACTGAAAACAGGCCATGTGCATTTGTATAGGGAGTTCTCGTGTTCATCTTCACATATAACGCTGGAACTCTCTGCTTTCATATATTCGACAGTGATGAATCGCTAGCCACATCAGTAAATAATTGTAAATATCAGTGAGTTATACTTATAATCGTCAAGATTCGATCTTTTCTAAAGTTTGTTTCAAGTCAAACAGTAAAAATTAAAGTCATCTCAAAGCCACTTTGTCAAAAATTTTTGTATTTCACCTAAAAAGATTTCATGGTATTTTTACTAAATGTTTGAGTTGACCCTCCATAACTCCTTAGTACACGAAGACTATTCATCGTGTGTTGACGGCAGAAACGACGTTTGTTTAGCTAGCAGTTAACTTGAGTGATGTTACCAACCAGGGTTAACAATAATAAGTTCCCGAACGTAAACCCAGTTACAGAAGTTCGTAGGAACGTACCTGATTATACAGCTAAGTAGGAATCTCCTCTCACTACGCCACATTCCAGCTATGGACACAACAGCCACTTTCAGATTTTCCATCTCTCCATTCGTATCGAAGTATTTTCGCAGATCCGCACACCCAAACGCCTCCAATTTTTTATTTAATGAAAATATACATAGCGCATCTGAAGTACCATTTTCGATACGTTCTCAGAATTACGCCAATTTAAAACGGTTAAAACTTATATTGCTCATGCAATTCAACAGAACACCGTCATGTGCAGAGATTTTATCGGGTTGTCAGAAAAACTTTTTAGCTAGGGTAAAATCACGGATGTCGGATAATACGAATCGCATCAGACTGGCGTAGATTTTAGATTTCTGCAAAAATTCGCTACATTGTATAATCTTTTTCACTAGAAAGGCATAATTACTGCCCAGGTCTTTAAAAAATTGGGCTGTTTATAATCAAAGTACTTTATCAGAGGAAACGGCCCAACGATGATTTTTTATTTCGAAAATTTCGATATGAAAAGTGCTCCTCCAATGTAATGTTCGACCAATCACGAAAAAGTTGCGACACTTGCGAATGACAAGCTGGTGAGTAGCCATAATATCGCCAAAGGTCTAAGTATCCGTCAACTTATTTGAAGATGGCTGGCTACAGAAAAAAGTTCGATACTTGTGTGCCATATGAGTAAACGCAAAAAATCTACGCTAAGCGCACCTGCGAAGCTTTACAGGAGTGTAATGAAATCAAACCATTTTTAAAGCGATTGATTGCGACTGATAAAAGTGGATTACACACGATACTAATAATATCCAATAAGTGACAGGGCCTAAACTAAGAATATGATATGTGTTTAATGGGAGTGGAATGGACTCGTGCAATATCAGTTTCTGCCACCTGACAAAATGGTCGACTTCGACCTCTGCAGTCACCTACCATCAAGATTATAACAAACTATTGGAAAAAATCGACCCATAAGAGAAAAGAGAGGTTTTCCACCATCAAAATGGTAGGCTAACGGCATCTTCAGCCACCCAGCAACAGTTCAGAGAACCTAGATGGGAAATTCTAGTGTGTGCGCCAGATAGCTTGGATCTTGCACCACCGGGCTCTCGTCTGTTTTGGCCTCTGTAGAACTCCCTTAACGGTGTTCAGGGCCGCAAAAAGCAAGTCTCAATTTTTCGTTCAAAAAATACAGAAATTCTACACTGATGAGATTATGATGTAAAAATTATGGCAGGAGTTCGCCCACAAATGTGATGCATAGTTAAGTAATGACATTTTAAAAATTAAAAAAAAAATACTTGCCTTAACTTTGGCTTAAAATCGCTCGATACATTTTAATACAATTGAATATACAGAATACCCAAAACAACATTGTGGGTATCTCATAGTTCGACATTAAATTGACACCTAAAAGGGTTAGCACAATCACGTCTATATAGTTGTTTGACTTCACCTGGTTTTCTATCCTCAGTAGCCATCCCCACGAAGTCGAAGTTCGTTACCGTCTTCGAGATGAGCGCGAATGAAGATACGGCTTGCTTTATCCGTTACTCTACTATGACTCCGCCTAAAATCTATTTTCCTCGTGGTCAATAACAACGAAAGCTAGTGTCAAATATGTATGAGAATGACGGGCACGTTTAAACTATAATACACCACAAATAGAACCCCCGAAGTCAATTTGATGCTTCAGAGCAGGTGTACAATGCCTTAAATCTCGCTCCAGTGTGCATCGCCGCTCAGATGTTTTGACAAAAAAAAGCTTTCCCACACAGACGTTTCTGAAAAATTTTCTGACGGTGGTTTGATGCGTTGAATTGCTTTTTCTTCACAATAATCACCGTGTATGACTTAAAAATATCGTGAATGTACGTTAGTTCACAATGGAATCCGTGCATTGCCTTTATCGCAGTATAGAATTTGCGATTTTCCTATAGTACATGGTTTTACCGACCGAAAACTGACCAGGCTTCGTTTCTAATTGTATATGGATAAGCAGTATTGCATTTTCAAGCTTTTGCCCTTATTTTAATATATTTAAAATATTTATCATTTAAACATATCTTATCGATATAATATGTATGGTAGCTTCAGATGCCACTCGGTGTATTTGATATCGTTCACCTCAAGCAGGAAAAGCTCGGAATGATATTTCCAAATTAGCATACGCAGAGATACTCGTCTACACTCTCTTATTAACGGGTTTTCAGTATATCGTGTCCCCAATGTTATCATATAGAATCAAGATGAAAATGACGTTCAGCCCTATTGCCTCTTTCGGCTGCCGTTAAGTCCTCATTGTAGATTGGAAGTTGTCGTAACGCTGAGCGAACGCGTTTTTCCCATCAGACGGTCTGGCTGACTGAGAAATGACTGGTTCAAAACTCGCCGAAAACAGTAAACAAAAAATAGGCTTCTGTCACTTAGAAGTCTACTAAATCGTTGAAGTGGCTAATGAAAACAAGTACCGGCCAAAAATGTTTTTCGTATTTTGCGCGCTATTTTTAAGCGGCTAGACATTACTACATTTAGAGGGTTGGCTACTACCTGCGAGCCCTGTGGCCCTAAATCTAACATGTTATGTACTACATTATCACGAGAAAACCAGAGACAGTGAAATGTTGGGCGAATTTAGTGGGTGCTAACGCAGCAGCTAAAATATACTGGCTAAAATCTCAAAACGCTACCGTGGTAAAGACGTAAAGGATATTTCTAAATAAGATTTACACATGAATCTCATTAAAAAACATGTTATATAATGCCCAGATTAATCCACGCGTATTGTCTGGACGAATGAGTCTTCAGTATGTAATTCTAACTGACTGGTTTGTGAATTTAAATGTGAAATCTAATTCAATCTGGCCGGTTTAATTGAGCGGAACCGGCATTGAAATAGGGATTTTTATATCTGAATAATATCTTGAGAGCGGTATACATTTATAATAGCGCTCCCGCTAATAACTATATACATTTATAATAATCCCGCTAATCGACTATTAGTTCATACATTTTTTGCCCCGAAAATTTGCTCAAGGTTCTTCACGATGATTGCAAATATTTGGCAATCGTCCTATTATACGGGTGCCTAAATTGCGTGTGGTTGTATTCTTTTTGGCACAACAGCCTTATCTATAGCGCAAAATTATCTATCAGATCGTTAGCTAGAGATTCTTAGCAAGTTTTTTCCGTTTTCTTCCATTTTCAATATCAGTTTACACAGATCGATATAGGCCAGGCGATTGGCGCTCCATCCAGAAATCGATCATTTCCAGCAATCGTATTTTGTACCTTTCTTCGTAGAAACACAGAAAAGAGGGAAGGAGATTGAACATTGGGAATAATATCTTTTACGCGTTGAGCCTTTCTTTGGGATTACGCTTGCTTCGATGAGAGCAAAAATTTTATCGGGATTCGGGGTGTTGGTAAATAATCGCCACCGATATGCATATAGTAAAACGCCATAATTTTCTTTCAACATGTATTCTCCCGTTACTGGATTGATAGTTCTATAGAGGTTCCAATATTAGAAGTTAGTTTTTTCTCTACCGGTTATTTACAAGCAAAAGTAATCGAATTCAAACATTCGTCACCATCCATTTCCCTATATAGAGCAAACTTGTCCTAACGTATAAATGCAACAATTGCCTGACCACTATTTGAAACTGTGTTAACGGCATAAGCGCCAGGTTAGGTCACTTTCATTTATTTCGACTATGGCCAATACAAAGCTGGTATAGACTTTGGTTCTGTAAGGAACGCCGCTGTGAACCTTTGTGCTCCAATCGCTATAGGGTTAGAAGAGGGGCATCCAGAAACATCTCTAACAACAGGAACTATTTTACATACATATTTAGCGTACGTTTGATGATTGCGGAAATTATTAAGCGCTCTTAACGAGCGTAAATAGTTAGTCTTATCTACATAATTTACGATAATCAAGGGTAATTGCTAGGCAGAATAATGCCCCACAGAAGAAGCAATCGCAAACATAGCTAGAAAGCTACTGATAAAGTATTTAGAAACGCATTTATATGGTCAAGCAGGATGTACTTTTGTTACTTATCTATTGTTTTCAATTCTTTATTTAGTGTGACTCCATTAGAATTGCTCCGGCTTTTCGTTGTTATCGAGCTAATCTGGGTTGTTATTTGTGGAATAGTATGTGGAAAAAGTACGAAGGTGCGAAAAACATCCCAATGATGAGCTGTTTGCCGCCCACCTGAATCAACGTTGAAACACCCATTCCTTAAACACTTACAAACGTTTTCATTAAGTTTTTGCTACAGGTCGGAGAATTTACTTAACTAGAAATATTTTCCTTTGGCGATCTCTGGCTGCAACAAATAGTAAGGGTACTTTGAGATTTCTGAAACCTCCCGTTAGACTTTGTGTGGCTCTCGAATTATAAAACCAGTGAAAAGTTTCGCTCAGAAATGATTGCCGAATATGGAAGAAAAGTGAAGAGTGCAATACTTCGTTTACACAGAAACGCTGATGGCGCTATTGCTGACGATTAGACCGTATCGGACTGGCAAAATTACTGCCGGATCGCACTATGTAGACTAACTGGCAGTGCACATTATGAAAACATTAATTTATTGAAAAAAAAAAAGCGATAGACAATGAGATTAAGCATTGTAACACTCATGGAGAGTAAAAAATCTGTGACCTACTATACGTAAGAATCAGATGAATGATTGAAATGAATATTTCAAGTAAACTATTAGATTATAAGACTTTTTGTACCTTGGCTTATATTCAGGTAGTTTTTAGACGTTTCCTTAGATATTTCTTCATAAAAGATAATCCAGCAGTGTTGTGGCTCGAATGCTCATATGCTCAAAATCGAGCGTAGATGCGTTTCACTCGTACCGGCTAGAATCAGGCGTCCGGAGCAATGCTTAATTGAAATTGTACTGGACGCGTTACTCGAAGCACCACTATTATCGGTAGCATGACTCATAGTGACTTCGTATAACGTTGTCGATGTTGGAAGGTCTTCGCTTTGACAAATATGGGCATAAGTTTCAGGCTGAATTAGGAAGTCGCAGTTGGCCCTTTTTGGGGTGAGGTTGCCCGGGGCAAGCAGAGACTTTATCGGTCTTTACAAACGATTGATACATGTGCATTACTTAGTATTAAAGTGCACTATCTTTTGTTCCTAGATAAGGTTGTCGTTAAGATGTTTGTTAGCTATTCCCCATTATATTGAGGTATTTACGTTGGCAAATAGGAAAGTGGTCTATCATCATATAAAACTTTTCCAGTTTGCGAAACATTTCAAGTTCTTGTCGACGTTGGCAAAATCGGCTCTTTGAAAAGTTCGCCAATGAAAACTTCAAGTTCGCCATGTATTCTTCAGTTCTCTGTTCAGTGGATCGAAGTGTTATTTATGGTATTGGCGTTACATTTCCAAAAAATATGAAGTACAAAAAAGTGTATGAGAATTTGCGTAGCAATTAGTTCACATCGAACTCTCGTAGAGATCATATTATTTAAAATGTTTCGTATACAGTTGATGAACTATATCCGTTAAATTTCTCGTTTTGATATATGTACAGAAGCGAGACCTCACAAGGTTCTACTTCGCAACATAAGTTTCCGGACTTGACGTGCCTAGTATTCTCATTTTGCGATTTTTAGGCATTGGTGTGTGTAATGGGCCACACGGGTGTCGAGGTACAATTTTGCGGGTAAAGGGAAGTTGCGGAGATGCAGTTCTTAACGCTACGAAACAAGATCTCAACGACGGTACAGACCTTCGAACCTGAAACATTTAGTTGCTTAAATACGATCCTACATTTAATAAATGCAGCAGTTTCAATGAAGGGTTGTTATATGTAAGGGTATTATTATGCACCATTACCGTAAGTGCCATGAAAGGGTTGTAAGTTGATTGCCAGTTGATGCCTTTGTGGAATCATCTAGGATTTAGATCTTATTTAATCGAAAACGCTCAGTTCAGAATCGATTTAGATCATTTGTGTATTCCTCAAATCATAATAATAATAGCTACCAAAGGCTTCCAGCTTAAAAGTTGAGCCCCTGCTCCCGTTCTTAAAAGTAGCTATATTGTACCCATTAGCAAACGTTTTCGACCCCTTGGTCGATTCTCGGCCAATTTCCACACCAGCCATTCAAGCATCAAAACACTTTAATTTTCAGGTTCCGTGCTGCCCTTAAACATTGCTTCGGACGGGTGGTTCCTTCTAGCATGAAATTAAATGTGTCTACACGTGGTTTCGAGCCTAGGTCATCTCATTTTCCCAAGTCTACTAGGCCCCCACGTCGCCGCTGCACCATCAAAAGGACCCCGGCGTCATTGATACTAAAATTAGGTGCGTCATGGGTGCCAGATTACATGGTCACCGAACAGCTTATTCTGCGCGTAACCTAAAAAACAACACACGTTTCTTTCAGTTATCTTCGTATGTTATCCTATAGTATAATCGGTATGACCGTGTGCTTATGAATGATTGTCAAACTATTAGGAATAATGTTGGTTTGCAACACAATATATATTGATGCAAATAACAAAGCTGCTACTAGCGAACTGCGACTTGCTCGCGTTCGAACAGCCTTTCATACGCAGGTCTGAAGTGCATTTACCTAGAAGTTATGATATAATATTCGCAGCACGTATCTTTACGTTCAGTTGTATATACTGAGATACGTTTTGCAACAAGCCGCTGCCGGCCATGTGGCGTTATAACTCGATAGCTGCATGGCGCAGTTCGACTGATGATAGTCAATATGGTTTACATGGGTCCAAGCTCTTGTTACCGGATCAATTTTCACCAGTACCTTAATGCCGTCTTTGAATTTCCGCGAGGCACACCTTATTCGTTCGAACCGCGTCTTTAGGCGTCGTTACCCGTTCTGGGGCAATCGGTGCTCGTTCCGGCATAGTTCCGCCGCATTCTGCCTTGAGGCGTTCTGACAGCCGTATGGCTCTATGGAAGAAGGGCCCTATAGCCGAAGCCGAACAGCCGAAGAATATTTCGAATGGTTTTTTTTCCGGTCCTCGCTTTGGGATGTGTTGAACGAAAACGTTATTCGAGACGGCAGCTTCTGAAGCAAACTCTGTCCTTCCATCACCAGGCACCCCACAGTTTCTATTGCCGTCCATACCAGCTTATTGCACCGTGTATATCCGATAGTCATCTTAAATGTGACCGAGGTAATTATGTCAGAGGTAGCCTGCGACTCGCCGCCATGTAAAACGGGTGACCTTGTCCATCCCGACGGCGCCGAAGCTCTGCGAAATTTACAACGGCCAAGCTACGGCTCCCGATTTTGTCCCCTAGACATACACAAAACGGTTTGTAGTTCAGTTTTTGGTCGGAACGCCCAAAAAGCATTTTTGATAATATCTTCGTATGTTGCAATTCCAGGGGTTCGTCATTCAGTTCACTTTCGGCTTGTCGTAGGGGCTAATGGCTGCCTCCGAAGCGGCCTATTCTTATTATTGCATAAAGTTGGCGAGAATATGGCTTAAGAGCGCTTAACCACTGCATTGCTTGTACAGTGTTTCACTTCCGGAGCAACCAACATACTACAAAGAGTTGCCTGGCCGACCTAGGTAAATGAAGGCCATCTGGCCTTCATTCGTCTGGCCGAAAAAAAGTGCGTTCTCGGACACCAGAGATTCGAAGAGCCTTGTATATTTTATTACACGATACGCAAAATTTTACCTATCTATGTACTTACTATTGCTGCTAGTGTGCATTGATGACATCAATGTGCCTGAATTACGCCGTTATTTAGGAAGGTATCGCGACGATTACAATTACTCGAACTGGCCGAACAATAAGCCCGATCATCTGTGCGGAAAATCATCCCGAACTATTCGATCGAAACAAGAAGTCCTGCATAAGTTCAACGAAAATATGCTCCAATGCTGGTTCCCTACTCTTAAGGTTCACCTTTCCTGGACGCGGCTTTGGCACTGCGAGCGTCTTGAAATTAGGCTGCCCTGCTCGGCCACAAGGCCGCGTACGATTTCAGTTATCCCACAACGCTGCCACCAAATTTCGAGCGCGTAGAGTTTCGCTGGAGCTAATCGGCTCATAACTTCCTGCAGACCGCCAAACCGACACTTTCTGTGTTCTATGGTGAACGCTCACTTCTACCCTAGCCAGTTTCTAAGATGAATGTCTTCGTCCGCTTACCTCAGGGTCATATTTACTCCACTAAAACGAAACTCGGCTCCGGTTTCGATGGCCCTCGTCCTCGCATTTTCCTTAGTCTACGCAATAAAAGCAAGAGTTCTCTTAGCATCTTTTTCAACCAATTGAAAAAAATAGATAATCACACATTAATATACACCGATAGTGACACTTGATAACGCCTTATATTTGATAATAAATTTTCAAATTAGTTAAATTTCTCCAGTGAGCGGTTTGAGTTGAAAAGCATCTCAGGAGAAAATTACGTCTACAAATAAAAGTTGGGCATATTATTTTTAACTGTGCCAATTATCTCCTATTTTCACCAATAGAACTTCGACAGTTCCACCTCTATCTATACACATAACCGAAAACGAACAAAAAATTTCTACTAATCTGTTTAAATACCACATTTTTATTATTATCAAGTTCTATTTTTATCCGCGCTATTTCATTTATATGTTTTATATATGGTAGTAATCGACATTCGGCTAGAGCAACAACAACCCCACCCAGTCGTGTTGAACTGCTGGGCAGTATTTAATATAGACAAATGATACTCTCTTTTACGCATTCTAAATAAATCACATGTTATCAGGGCCTATAGTAAATTGCTTTACATAATTGTACACTGACTACAGTCAGATAGTCCTATTCATAAGCTACACGCCGGCGCCCAGATAAGGACGTTCTCTATCAATTTACTTTGTTTGTGTTTATCTAATATTGATACAACGGATGGAAGCGGTAGGCCATACCTTCGAATGTTGACACTGTTTTTGTTTAGAATATAAATGTTTATGCAACAAATGAATCTGCGTGAAGTTTTAAGAATCCCGACACAAAGTCGCCCAGCTGTGTCAGCACGGTTGTTTCAGTCTAGGTCAATGGGGTACAATTTAAGCCGCTGTTGGGATTCCGCTGAAGTGCCACGCACCCGAAACCTAATAACATTGAGTTCTTTGATTTCAAAATATTGTGTCTTTGACTGAATAGTTCATTGTTTAGCAAAGCCACATCAAATAGCTGGATCATATTTACCATTTTCAGTTTCATTTCAGATTTCACCATTTTTCGTTTGATTTACGGTGTATAACTTCATACATGTATATAATCAAAAGGTCACAACCTTTTAAGTCTGTCAAATCTATCCAATTAAATCATCTTGTCGCAAGAAAAACTGTTTTAAAGCAATCTTAGCTGGATTTTTTGTCTCTCATCCTATTTCGCCAATGAGACAAAGTTATACCACTTCACAGTCGTCCATTCCTCTTTACTGCCTATGTATTGATACTTTTCAGGAGACCGAAAGACATCTACGCCAAAGTATGATTAATAATAGTCTTATAATGTTTATTCACATAGAAATTAACACATTCTTTTTTTTTGTTATTTCTAAGGCCCCAAGCGTTAACTATGTAGTCAACCTGCAACAGTGATCATCTTGTTCAATACGTATAATCGGTCGAATTATAGCTAAACCCGTACGTCCTCATATAGTATTTCCTCTTAAAACCTATCTCCTTCTTCACACATCCGGTTATTCTTTCGAGCTGTGTTTGAAGGAATCTGAGGCCGTCCGTCCCATTCTCTCGCTACGTGGGTAGAAATCGTATACACCTCGAGCGTAAAGTACGTGGTTTCCTGTCGAGTTTAAGGCTGAACGTAGTGTTATTGTTGTTGTTGTTGTTGTTGTTGTTGTTGCTCTGAGAGAGCGATGCTTGTTTATGAAGATTGTCGTTGAATTCGCGCGTGAGCGCTTCCATACACTTCTCTGCTAGATACCTGGAAAAAAAAAAGAAGAGACACAAAATGGCCGGTGTCAACAATTTCAAATCGTACAGACGGGTTATCGAACAATCCATGAGAAGCACGGTGTAGACTGTATACTAGTCGTATATGAACGCTGGAGTTATGTTGAACAGTCTATGCGAGTTACACATACTCGATGTAGTCAATGGATTCGGTTTACGTAAAATACAACATTTTACTTTTCACTAATTTGAATGTGTATAGACGATTGTATAGCAAACGTACCGGCTTAATCTCTGGCTGGTTGATAGTGAAAATGCTGATTACTATTGAGCTAACGGATTCTCTACACCTTCCTTTAACTCTAAATGGCATAAACGGGTCATGCTGGGTAGAAGGCATGAGTGTGAGCCTACCTGAAAGCTTCGTCAACGTTAAAATCTTGTTTAGCAGATGTCCTATAAAGCCTAAGACGATGTCTTCTTGCTGCACATTCGGCCATCTCTGGGGTGACCGTCGCCTGATCTGCCAGATCCATTTTATTTTGCACCAAAACCATTGGTAGAGATCCACACTCGGCCTCCACCTACAATATCAGCGCGCACAAAAACGACCGAAATGTACACTCTAAATAGAGTGCTGTGTACATGGCAAGGCTTAAACTGGAACAGTGACCTCTTAATAAGCCGACAGGCGAGATTTGCTTTTTCAATCATTTTTCTTTACAATGATCGAATATTGACAACAGATAATTGAGGCATGAAATTCGCATAACTATGCATACATACACGTACACGTAGGTACAGGTTATTGATAAAAGTAAGCCCCTTGGAAAATCTTTGACGGTAGTATTTCGTGTATATATTTTTGTTTATATATAAACTTTTTTTATAATTCCATTTTATATTACACTGCCTCGCCATGCTCTTCAATGTATTGGATTAATTGTCGCACATTCATTCATTGTAGCACAAAACGGCTATTGTATGAAAGAAGCATGAAGGATGTCTAATGAAGGGTGAAGGGGTTTACTAAAGGCTACGATCGAAACTATTAAGTTAGATGCACATGAATAAATGCTGCCATGAAGAACTGCAAAGTTTTCATTGGGTATCCTAACGTGATTAGGACAAATGGGACTTAATTTTCGTTCTCTTTTTTTATCTGTCTAGACCGTTCTACAACGGACCTGATCCTCCCCGTGAAACCTAGCTTATCCGCATAGCTATGACTATGATTGTGTTTTTCATTTTTAGTGCCCCGTCACGCTACACGACAATGTACTTTTCTATAAGTTGTATCAAATCGAGTTTTATCAAATGCATTCTCGATGGCTGGCTTTTACGATCATATTATCGTTATGCCGCTTTCTATTTTTCATTGATATGCTTATTCAACCGTATAAACCCAAGATTTGCATGTTATATATAATGTTAAATAGAAGAACGATGGTCAAGATCCACTTAGTCGGCGAATCTAGATCCGCAGTTTTTGTTATATTACAGCCTTTCATTGTCTAGAAACGTAAGAACTTACTTGTTTTTATACCAAATGGTAAAATCAGCCCTAAATAATCGTCTTTTTTTAGTTCAGTCATCGACGACTGTCAACTAGAGCGGTCGGAGCTGTTGCTGCTACTGTTGATATATTTTCATCCTTAGGATTGTTTTCATCTTGTTGCTACTAGCACGATTAACTGGGTTCGTATAATTGAAGATCTTGAATAACAGTTACATCTACAGTTGCATAAAAAAGCAGTTGAGCAGTGTCAAGAACAAACAGCTACTACAGTAGGTAAATATAGGTGTTCGACACAAAGCTTCCACAACACGACACCAGAGGGCATCAGCGAGCTAGGATTTCTTTAATAAATTTATATATATATATCTACTAGTATCTGGCTAAGCTATGCTATCCCAGGTGTGTGCTGAGTTCAACTGCCGCGTCCGTAGATCATTGCATCACAGAAATATAGTAGCTTTGAGCTTACATCATGTGTCATGTCCGACGCAATCATCCGAACCCTGTGGGACGCTATAGCTGATTCGTCAATCGTTTTGTCTGCTGTTAGCCATTGGCTCCTTCAGATCGGTGGTAAGCTTTCGCGCATTCAGCCTCCCAAATCATTATGAGCATACGATACTTCTGTCGAATCCACAAAAATACGTTCACATATAGATATAGCCTTAAACTATTATACATAATACAAACGCGAACACATCTGGGTATCGCTAATTGACAAGGTCCAGCGGCCTGCATTGACTGTAGGACTTTGTACGAGTGATTACGCGTGATCACAACGGCATCGTCGCCGACCATCGCGCACTGTCGCTAATAGGTCGTTCGAAATACCTTTTTGCTGCTTCGGGATATTCTGTGCAGACTGACGCGGACAGAGCGTGTACTGGGTCGCCGATAATCTTAGATATAACGGCCAACGGGAAATTTGCTCTGGCGGAGAAAGGCCTTGACCAGATATCGACTGAGTAAAAGAAAGGCCTGTCATTGGCATCGGAGTGGGCCAACGACAAAATGGCATAGCGTAACTGTTTCTCTTTTTTCGCCCCGAAAACGACATTAAATCATGTGCTATTTTTTTTTATGGTTACTAAACCCTGAGTAAATGGTCACGTGTCAACGAATGAATGGTCTTCATACAGTCGTTGAATTGAGATCGGTCTTAAACTTGCTCCTGTTAGGTATTAAGCAAACCCTTCAGTTCAAACGGAGGCAAAGTAACTGTGTTCATCATGACACACCCATTATTTATTACTATTTGTTAGATGTAACATTAACGCGACTGAATGCGGCGTTTGAATTCGAAGTATTAGATAGTTTTTACCATTTAATTAGTTTCTTTTTACAGCTCACAGATAAGTTACTAATAATAGCAGTCGAAGCAAAAGAACGATAAGCGTAAAAGGAAGTTAAATCATTACACTATAGATTAATTGCAAACAATTCGCTATTTTTAACTAGAAAAATAAGAGCTTTTTCTAAGCGGTCCTATTATTATTATAGTGTTATAATGGAGTTCCTAGCCAAGGGTTCACCATAAAAGCGTCTACTTGAACAATTCGTTTGTCCTATTGGTACCAGTTAAGGGTCAGTCGCGAAATCCTGTTAAATTAATAGCAACTGGGCTCATTTACATGGCGCGTCATTGGCCACCTGAATGCTGGCTTCGGATCAAAAGGCCACTAGCCAAACGTTATGGGTTCCTGTTAAAACGCGACAGTTTTTAGAGCATTTAAAGTAACCATTATTACTATAGGCAATATGTTTCCCTTGAGAAATTCTGTCCTGAACGTATACTAATATGAAACAGTTATAGGGGCAGAAAGTATCATTGTGAACTTCACCATACTATTATATGCTATTATAGATACAATGGCACGTCAGTACAAACCTTGCTCCGCCAAGAATCGACCGCTTCGAACGAGTCGAGATCGCTAGAACTGAATGCAAGGATGGCACCATGCGCGCCCCGGTAATAGGCTCTCGTCAGTGCGTCAAATTCCTCCTGACCGGCTGTATCCCAAACCATTAGACGAATCGAACGTCCGCTCCCGATCTCGAGAACTCGCTCTAAAAAATCCACACCTAAAAACCGAACGAAACTCAACCCGATTAATTCAGGAAGGACAATGATTGACAGATAGATTCGCGAAAATATGATGTTGCAATGGTAGCGTATCTGCCAACCTGAACTGAAAGACACGAAGTGAGACGATTTGGGTTAAAAACCTAGCGTAAATACCCTTTGTTTCAAGCAGCAACAAGCCCTAAATAACACCAGCTTTTTTCCTATGCGATACTATTATCATTACCATCGCCATCACGATGATTATCACCGTCGTGTAAGAGGTTTACAGCGATGCTCGCGCCCTGCTCCGACCCTTTACTTCTACCTCCGCCTCAACATCGACGACTGATATTACGGCCATTTTAAGCATCACTACTATTTATACCTTACGTGTTAGCTGCCACAAATGGACGGTCAGACAGCTCGAGTTGAAAAAGCCGGCGACGGAACACGGATTGCGAGCGAGTTTTCAGGCGATCTATAGAGACGGTACATCGTTAACACGACTGCTTTGCCTCGGGCCATATTGGAGTCGTGCTAAAGCCGTGGAGCCACCCACGGGGCACCTTCGTCGGGCGATCGCCGCCAACGTTTGACTGAAATTGTCGGCCAAGGCCCCTTTGATTGGTCAGTGGCAGATTTTCGTTGCCGCTACTGCCGCCGGCGTCAGCCATCACGACACCTTACGGTTCTATAAAGCGACGAACGCTGACGAAAGTCAAACAGCTACTGAAAGCGGACATTGTAGGTAGGACATCAAATAAAAAGAAGAAAAAAAAAACAGAAACAGAACTGTTGCAAAAAGAAATCCAAATTTAAAGAAAAAGGTCTTGAAAATATGCTATGGCAACAACAACAACAACAACAAAACTGTACAAGATCTAATTGGCATCGCCTCCAATAGCTGTGCTTATGTGCCGCCTTTAAAGTCTCCCAGGTCAGGTGATTCGAAGGCGCCGAAGACATCCGGCAATGAAGAAGCAAGCATCCTACTCTCTCAATTTATTCGTGCAGAACAGTGTGGCCAGATGGCAACGAAAAACGAAGTAAGGAAAGCCGCACTTCTTCCTTTTCGTAAGCGTCTCTTGGCCACTGTGACAGCGGCGAACCGGGTACGTAGGCACAATCGTACGAAACATATCGGTACATTGGGAGATGCTTCTGATTGATAGAATAGTTAGTAGCTGCTTTTCTCGAGCGGGGAAGGCAACCTGCTAAATAAAAATACTATAGGAAAAGAATTACAAAAAAAAATGCACGAGTTATCGATTCAGAAGGTAGTTTTCGGCGATATGGAATCATCTATTAATCTTGAAAGAAATCCTTTATCAGTATTTGTAACCACGGCGTCGAATGAGACGGCAATAATGGATACCTTATCAGATACAGACTGAAACAGACCCATGAACCGTCTGTACAGAACAATGTTTTTATTAAACTTAATGTTATTTAAGGAAAAAAATACTAAAATATAGTTAGTAAGCATCATTCTATAATAACGTTTTCTCTTTTTTCGACGTTTCAACGAACCCTCTTCGCATGAGTTCCGTCTTTAAAGCAGACGCCTGTATACATGAATAGGGCGCCATTATTTTTAGCTAATGTTTGTTGCTGCTGCTGTTGCTCTCGCCACGACTGTTACGTTGAATAGACGGGAATCGGCCTCCCGCACGAAACCTTTAGGTGAATTTGCCGGTAAAATATAGTAAAGAGCTTATAAATAATGGCGTACATCTGTGATACGAGCAAACATATTTCGGTAAAAATACAAAGAAAACAAAGAAACTTTCGCGAATATTTTTACCCGAAGTCCGTCTGTTCCTAATTAAACCTTCCTGACATTAGAAAGAAAGAGCTGAGAACAACAATATAAAATCGGAAACATTTATAGAAGCAGCTTCTATCCTGTTGGACCCCTGGTCGTTTATGAAGTGGTCATTGTCTGACGCGTGTCGCCTCCTAAGAAAAGACACAGTTGTTGCTTTTATTTAGAACTTTGGTGAGTTTAGTTCGTACGGCAGTTGGTCGTTCTCACGTTCCGACACCCCGTCGATTTTCTGCCTGCCAAAATGTAGCCACTTAAATTCTGCACCTTCACACGCAGCATCCCGCGAGTCAACAAAGCCCAGACAGTTAAAGGCGAAGATATCTAGGCGATGGAAATGTTCTCCCTCAGAGTGTTGCGCAGCTAAACACGCACAAGCATCAGTTTAAGCAATACTTTCAGCTTGGAAAACTGTAGAAAGTTGAACGAACTTGCCGCAGTTCGACGAAGCGGCTAGCTTTTAGCATGTGAGATGTCTGTTGCTAAATACTATACTTACGGCATATCTAGGGGACTTTCTGTTTTCAGAAATAAAACGTAGCTGTACCCTGAACTAACTGATCCTGAACAGAAAATATCGTGACGATTAAAACACTTCCGTTTTTAGTCATATGTCAAATGACCCACCAATGTCTCATAGATTTCTAGTAACGTTCATTGAAAACATGGCCATCTGGTAGCTAATATAGCTTGATCCAAAGGTGATATTTACGACAAAGGGCCACCCGGATGTTCGTACCCAGTTTGAGCCCGTACCTGACGTGAGCATGGTTAGCACAAACTGGGCACTTGAACAAATGGCACATTATATCCGCAGTGGTAGAACTTTATCCATGATTGAACATAAGCTGAGCATGCTCGTTCTTGAAACAGCTATCACAATGAAAAACCACTTCTTTAGGAGAACTCAGTCGAAGTCACCATTCTGTTTCATCATGCGTATTATCTAGTATTGTGTATGGCCGATAATAATACCACTAATAATAATAATAAGGCCTATTCCGATCTTCTAGCGCGCTTTCTGGAGATCAGCTTCGACCTCGAGAAGACATTTACTTAATGTATGGCACATAGCTGCATGAAACAATACTTACGGTCGATACAAACTATGCTAGGACCGTTGACCTGTCAACGGTTCGAGCTATCTCCCAGCGTTAACGACCACATTGTATAAACTATACTCATCTGATAGCTATATTACATCTAGTGGCACAGCTGTTCCTGTTTTAAAGGGCACCAATAGATTTTATTCGATTGTTCAATCTATTATCTAAATTGACGTTGAGCTACTATTTGCCTATAGAAGTGGTCCTTTTTAGCGTGGCCTGACGTAACACGCATGGCCGGTTCTTTCCTAATACTGCATCTGTCACAACTCATCGCGTGGATATTCATAGCAATCCTGGACTCGACAGTAACTGAAGCATAGCTATACAAATATTGTAATAAAGCCTGCATATTGATTGAGATCGCGAATACCGGCGTCCGTTCGCCCATCGAGATGATGGGACTTGAGAAGCTGACGTTAAGCTGAGTGTACGGAACCTGCGCCGATTTCAGTTCAGCTAAGCGACCCATCGTGGTCCAAGTAGGCGAAGAAAGACTGAACCTCGACGTACGACACTCAAGTGCGGTTGGTCGATCGATCAGCCAAGACCAGCTGACCTGTGTATCTGTGCGGTCAATGTGGTGGGACTAACCGATTGAAGCGCCGTAGACCGCCGCCTATCGAAGTACAAAAATGGTCGACTCCATTGCAAAATGGACGAGGAAGAGAAACGCCAAAATAGAAAACCGGGAATGAAATCTGAGCGAAAATTCGGCCGACCGATGACTGAAAATAACGCTGAATTCATCAACCTATGTTGCACTGTCTGTAGCGTCAATGGGTAGATTTCCTGACAGATAACAACTGTAATAATTAAAACAGGGATGATACGAAACGCATTAAAACGCGGTAGGGTTTTGCTAACGACTCTCTTGGCTTATATCGTCTCTTCTGTGATTGCCGACAAGTAAATATGGCTAATTAAGTCTGTACTGTTTGAGTTAGATAAGTATTTTATAGCTGATTTTTTACACAGACCCAAAAAATAGGTAGCCCATAACATTTAGCACTTTCTACGATCCTGACCGCAATAGCGAAGGGGAAGCTAGGCCTCAGTAGCGGAGTAGTCCATCGGAACAAACTTTCGAACTAAAACGGTCACTGAGCTGTTTCCGCAACAGTCATTTACAGAAGATGTATCATAGATGGGAACGATTCTGGGCGATGGGCTTAGTAAGTTAATCGAACTAATTCACTTAAACAGTAGAAATATGTCACTCTCTGTTCGAGGTCACTATAATAAAACCACTACGACAGCAGCAGCAGCAGCACGGATACGTTTGCTTCGTTGCCTATACCTTGGTGGAGCTATCTTTCAGTCCGTTTAACGGGGCGAATCGGGTAGCGGAAATTCATCTCCACAAAAAAAGCGGCATGTCATTACTGTTCAATGATTTCAAATTGGCCCGCGAGTCGCTCTCTCGTTTTTTTCGATCAGTGTGCTTGCTTCCGAAGCGGCAAAGAACGGCCCGCCGTAATGTTTGACTGCAAACGTCACGTCGATTTATCGTTGGCAATAGTAGAAATGGCAAACGCGACAGAGGTTCGGCGCTCACTTACGGAATGTTAGCTTTTTTATTTTTGTGTTTCATTTTCATCCGCTTTTCTGTTCGATTTCGTCGATGGTTTCGCCTGTTCTTCTTCTTTGTCGGCTGCTGAACTCATGTTGTAACAATATTATTCGCTTTTAGCCAAATAATATCGATTTTTTCGAAGCGGAGAGAGAAAAAATGCAACTCAACGGAGGGATATATAATAATAAACAATAAAAGACATCTGAAATAGCAACTATGAAGCTGCATCAAATATAGGGCAGTTCATGGATGTTTGTACCAAATCGATCTATGGAGATATGTCTTTGCAATTGAACATAATGGTCGATGTTTTTTTCAATATGCATTGATGCTAAATGGATAGAATTTAACAGTGCTGGTCAGTCCCATACGAACTAAAATAGCCTTTTTGTCTCATTTTGAAACTGGCAGCGGTTAACCGAACGTCTAGAACGGCAAGACTATGCTTATGCTACGCAAAATGGCCATATTCGTATTGTATATGACCTAACATGATGATCTTCCATAAAC